CAGTTGCTCAGATTACCAGACACAAGCATGCAAAGTCAATCAGGGCATAAAAAAATTGTAAGCATTAACGGTTCATTTCAATACACCATCAGACATCAGCAATACAGTTATCACAGCTATTCATATATACATATATTTATATTTTGCCTTTCTTCTTTCTTTTATCTTCTTTCCCTCATCCCAGTCATTCCTTCCTTTGAACAACTTTCAAGAAGGCTCCATTTTTTCTTAAAATGACTCAAATTTATCTTCTTTACAGCAAAGTAGTATTCCACTGTTTGTAAATACATTTTATTTATCCATACACCTGTTAATGGACATATATAGGCCATTTCCCATATTTAGTTTTCATGAATTGCTCTGCTAAAAACATAGTATGAGTGTTTCACTGTGATTTGATGTCTATTCGTTTCATTTGCACATTTTTTACTGGGTCTTTTATTTTGGAGATCTAATATTTTACACATTCTAAATAGTACTCCTCTGTCTGAGAAGTAGCAAGCAATTTTTCCCATTCTCTAGATTGTTTCTTCACTCTGCTCTTTGCTTTGTTTCTAAGATTTTTAATTTGATCTACTTCCATTTGTTGATACTTGCTTTTTTTTATTTTAAAGAGAGTAATAAAAAAAAGAACAATAGAAAAATACCAACATCACAGACATTAACAAAGTAAAGCAAGAACATTAAAAATGACACAGAGTTTCAGAACAAAATGATAGGAATTAGTGGTTGTTATGTTACATATTGCTATCTTCAACTGAATTGCTCAGATTATCAAATGTAAGAATGAAAGATTGTTCAAACCATTAAAGAGAATAAAAAAATAATTATTAGAAAAAATTGAGATGACACAGAGTTTAACCCTTGGTATTATTTCTTGTGCCATTACAATTCTGTTCAGAAATATTTTGCCTGTGTCCTATGTCTCAAGAGTTTTATGTATTTTATCTTCTGGAAGACAGTTTCTCATTTAATATTTTGATTTAATTTTTGTATATGGTGAGAGATATGGGTCTAGATTCAGTCTTCTGCAAGTATGTACCCAGTTATTCCCTCACCGTTTTCTAAAGAGGCTGCCCTTCTTCCAGGATACATATTTGACCTTTTGTCAAAGATCAGATGGCCAAATTACCTGGAGTTATTTCTATGTCACCTGTTCTGTTCCACTGATCATGTCTATTTTTGTGCCGGTACTATATTTTTTTATCACTATAACTAGTAACATTTGAAGTCTGGTATTGTAATGCCTCCTGCTTTGCTCTTATTGCCCAAGATTGTTTTTATTCTTTTTAATGGCTTGATCAATCTTGCATTCTTACATCTGGTAACCTGAACAACTTCACTAAAGATAACAATATGTAATATAACAGCCACTGTTCATTCCTATCATTTTGTTCTGAAACTCTGTTATCATTTTTACTGTTTTTGCTTTGTTTTGTTTTGTTTTTTGTCTATGTTGTTGGTATTTTGCTGTTGTTCTTTTTTATTATTCTCTTTAAAATAAAACATAAATAAAAAATAAAAAAGATTGTTTTTGCTACTCTAGGTCTCATCTGGTTTCACCTGAATTTTAGAATAGCTTTCTCTAGTTCTATGAAGAATAATCTTGGTATTTTGATTGTGATTATATTCCATCTACATGTACATAATCATATAATCCACATATAAGTAATCATATAAGTATAATTACAGGGGATGTGTCCATTTTCTGATGTCCTCTGATATACTCTTTCAGAGTACTGTAGCTTTACTTACACAGGTCTTTCACTTCTTTGATTTCATTAACTCCTAATTATTTTATTTTTCTTGAAGCTTGTCATGTTTTGGGGCCTATTTTGCAAGGGGAAACAATACAATACAGGACACATATTTCATAAGACTATTTATAATAGTCACCCAAAGAATGATATACAAGAGAGTGCAGGAAATCTGTCCACACACTATAAACAAAGAATCCAGCTGAGGGCCTGGATCCCACAGTAATGTCCTTATGAGTCCAGCTGAATACCTAGAGCGAATAATGATGCCTCCCACAAATACAACTGGAGGCCCAGAGCCCATAACAATATCTCACACAGGGCTGTTTCAAGGATCTGCGCTGGAAAGGCCTAATGGTCAGTGATGGAAGCTAGAAAGTCTGTGTCAGCAAGATGAAGGATCTGTGCTAGCAGGCTGAAGGATCTGCACTGGAGCCAGAAAGTGACACTCAGAAGAACCAGAGCTCCTCTGAAAAGTACCACAGCCATCCTCAGCAACAGTGAGGTTCCAAGCTCCTCCAATGATCAAGATGTTCAAGTTCCCATCAGGGAAGCCAATGCAGCAAGCTTCTCAGGAGACCAGCAATGCACCGTTTTCCCCTCCAGAGCCAGGAAGCGATGCTCAAAGTGAGGACCAGAGCTCCCCCAAAGTGAACCAAAGCCATTCTCAGTGCCAACAAGATCCCAAGCTCCTTGGAGGATGAAAACAGCCAAGTTCATCAGGAAAGCCAGCATGACGAGCTCCTCCAAACAACCAACATCTCTTTACAGTTTCTATCAGCTCCCAACAGCCTCTTAGCTCCTCCAGTTCTGCCTCTTATGCTGCTGGCAACAATCCCCAGGTGAGCTTCCCACAGCCAGCACCATGCTTACTCAGTTCAGCTGGGGGTGATAAGTTGACCACCAGTTATCAATCCAGTACAAAGCTATTATGAATGATACTGTTTCCTGATTTCTTTTTCTGTGGGTTCATTATTGGTGTACAGAAACCTTTGAATCCTGCTACCTTGCTGATTTTGGTTATTAATTCTAGTAGTTTTTTGGTGGAATGTTTTGGGTCTTCCACCTAAAGGAGTATGTCATCGGTGAATAAGAATAATCAGGCTTCTTCCTTCGCATACATATCCTTTTTTTTTTCTTTTTCTTGCCTGATTGATCTGGCTAAAGTTTCAAGTACTGTACTGAATAGTAGTGGTGATAGTGGGTATCTCTGTCTTGCTCCTAATTTTACAGAGAGTTTTTTTTTTTTTTTTTGGTTTTTCTCCGGTACCAGGAACTGAACTCACGACCTTGCGCTTGCCAGGCAGGCGCTTCTGCCGCTGAGCTAAATCCCCAGCCCTTGCTCCTAATTTTAGAGAAAATGCTTTCAGATTTTCCCCATTTATTATGATGTTGGCCATTTGTTTGGCATAAACAGGTTTTATCAAACTGAGATCTGTTCCTTCTATACATATTTTCTTCAGGACTTCTACCACGAAGGGAGGTTGGATTTTTTTTTTTTTTTCTGGTACCAGGAATCGAACTCATGACCTTGCACTTGCCAGGCAGGCGCTGTGCCTCTGAGCTAAATCCCCATCCCTGGGAGGTTGGATTTGTGTCAAAGGCTTTTTCTCCATCTATGTGATTTTTTTACCTGCTTTTGTTTTTGTAACAGCCCACATTTATTTGTGTATATTTAACTATCTTTGCATCCCTGTTAGAAAGCCTTCCTGGTCATGATGTAAGATCTTTTTAATGATTTGTGGTATTCTGTTTGCCAGGATTTTGTTGAGAAGTTTTGTGTTTATCTTCACTCAGGAGATTGGCCTATAGTTTTCATTTCTAGTGAGTGTTTGCCTCATTTTGGAATCAAGGTAATGCTAACTTCCAGGAATGAGTTTGGTAGTGCTCTTTCCTTTGGATTTCATTGAAGAATGTGAGGAATGCTGGCACTGGATCTTCCCTGAGGTTCTTGTAGAATCCAGTTAAATCCATTTGATCCTAGGCTCTTCTTACTCAAGTCACTGCTTTCTCTGGCTAGTTTTATGGCCTGTAGATTTGTGAGCTGCTCCCAAACCCATTCCAGTGTCCCCTCTGTCCATATACCACAGGCTGTGCCAACAGTCCAAGTTGAGGCATATCTGATTACATATCTCTGAAAGTAAACAGACTACTGAACTCTGTGTTAGATTAGACAGCAGAGCAGGAGGGACTAAGCAGTGCATTGGGCTTAATGCTAGAACTTTCAAGGCCCATTTCCTTCTAAAAACCATAAATGACCTGCCTGCCTTCTTGCTGGCAGAGGGTGGAACCACCATGTCTCTTCAAGCCTGAATTCAACACTTTTTAAACCTTGCAGGGGATCTACATCTAGCCTGCATCATCTCTATGACTGTCTCTTGTGACTGTCTCCCACCAAATTAGTGTGGTAGGGTGACACCAGAAGCCCTGAAGTGCAATTGTTGTGTAGCTTCTGATTCCTAGAACAACTCACTCTTAAACAATTAATCCCTTCCCAAAATGGCTCTGGATTAATCACGCTCAAGTATGGAGGACCCTGTGATGGATTTTTTCCCTAACTCTCAGCTACCATAAGGAAGAAGTTACTATACTTTCCCAAACCCCATGCTGTCTTTGCAGTTTGCAGTGAACATGGGCTTTTCTTGAGCTAGCACTGCTGGCCCACTCCACTTTTTCTCCCTGAAGCTGACAATCTTTCCCAGGCGTACTCTGTGTTTGCAGAACCAGCCTCCTCACCTCCCAGGAGCTAGATTTAGCACTCTAGACTACTTCCATTTTTTCCTGCATTATCTTTAGCTTTTCCCAATTTCTCTGTGGTTTCTAGTTTGCCTGTATTCTCTTTCTTAATTCCGAGAGCTTTTCTCCCTTTTCTCTTCACTAGATGTCATGAGTTCAGGTCCTGGAAAGACTTGTGCTGTACTGCTGAATCTTATACCACTATCTTCCTTCCTGTTAATCATATCTTTGTTATCTTAATAAATCTAGGGGGGAAGGAGATGGGGGCACATGAAATCACAAAACCTAATAAACTACCATGAACATAATTCAAAATAAGTTATAAGCATCAGATTAAATACCTAAATCTTCAGATAGTAGAACGATCTAAAAATTACAGAAACAGTATGTTTAAAGCTGTCAAAATTGTAAGTGTTAAACATATAAAAGTAAAACTATAAATAATTAAAAAAAGATTTGAAAGGCTGTAATAATTATTTTCAAATACTCAGTGTGTTTCAGGCACTATTGTAAGCATTGCACACCAAAAAATTTATTTCATTTTCAAAACAACACTATATTTAAGTCTAATTGTGTTCCAGTTAAAACTCAAACACAAAAGTTTATTAATTTGACTGAAACCCCAAGGCTAGTAAATAATGGTGCCAAAATGTAAATTCAAACCATCCTTTAGAAAGCATGCTTTTAGTTATTTTTCTAATACAGTGGCTCACAAGAAAAAATGTAATCATTGAAATAGAAAAGCGATAGGTTAAACAATAAAATAGATACAGCTGAAGAGAGTTGACTGGAAGAGAGAGGCAAAAAAAACTTATAGAATGCAAAAAGGGTGATAAAGAATTGAAACTTTTGAAAGATGAAGTAAGAGTTAAGGAACTATAATAAGAAGGTCTAGTAAACTTCTAATATTAATTTCTGAAGAAGATACTTAAAACAGCATTAAGTCAGACTGACAATCAAGAGATAATAAATATCTTTTAACCTTGAAGAAGAACATGAATCCTTGAATAGTTATTAATCTCAAAAAACAAAATAACTTCACATTTTTATATATATCATAGCAAAATTTTAGAGTAGAACAAGAAAGTGTTGAAAGAAATCAGGAAAAAAAACCACAGTACATAAGAACAACAATTATACTCAAAGATATCTCAACAGCAACAATAGAATAAAATATGACAACTATGTAATAAAATATTAAAAACTGTTGGTCACAAAACTAAAGTGTCAACCTTCAATTTTACTTTTGAACTTTTAGACCAATACAGTCATATACTTATCAAATAGTACTAGAAGGTTCAATTTCATAAAGAAAAAAAAGTGAATAAAAATATAAGAAGCCATGGATAAATGTAGCGTAAGTACTAAAGTGAAGAGATGGTTATACAAAGAAGTTCAAGCTACTGGTCGCACAGTATTCCAAGTTCATCCTTTGAGCTTTTCTATCCCCACCCTGAGCTCCCAATTCATAGATGTGGCAGACAAAATATAAAAGGCATGTTTGTTATTTTAAAAAGACAAAAAATATTCACAGACCAGAGAATAAAATAATGCAGAAAATGCAACTGAGGGGAAAAAAAAGAAAGCAAGGATAGAAGGTAGAAAGTACAGAGCTCCAGAACTGGGACTATATGTGATGTGCTTGGGAAACCACTGAAGCTAATGTGGTTGAAGTACTTTATGCAAAAAGATGTACAGCAGGACAGACTGTAGTATTAAAGATTCAAACTCCAAATTTATGTTTAATTGGGGTAAGAGAAAGCAGTATGAAAATGAAAGAGGAAAGAACAGACTATTAAAAAATAATGGTGGGAAATTTAGGTCTACTTGAAAACAATAAAGTTTGACCCCTACCAAAGAATATATATAAGAGAAAAGACAGTAAAAGTTCGAAACTTACCTCACACCAAACATTTATATAGAAATAGTCCATGAATAGAAGAAAAATGAAATATTATAAAAAGTATAAGAGAATATGGTCTGAGAGAAGATATCAGAAAGAAAGTCAGATGTCAAGATGGAAAAAGTTGTGTTTAGCAGCACAAAAAAATAATCTTCCACATTTTAAAATTCATTATCAACAAAAACTGAAGTGAAAGACTAGGTGAAAATATTTGCATCATACACAATGGAGAAATTGCTATGAGACATATTATTCAGTAATTATTTTGAGATGGGCAGACTCCAGGGAGTGGGTATGAAGAAATTTTCTGAACTGATGAAAACATCCCATATGAGAGAGATTTCCATTTCTCAGAAGCATGCATCTATTAGAATGGGAACACACATCCTGTGGATTTCAGTGTATGTGAATTATGCCTCTATATTTAGTTCCTATAACCCCTGTATGAGAAAAACAAACACCTAGGAAATTAACAGACACTAAACACAAGAGTTTAGAAAAATTACTAACAATAATAAGTGTATAGATAGATGCTTAACTGTATCAATAATTTTTTAAAATTATACCTTTTCTGCACAAATCCCCTCATTTATTGTTTATGAATGTATAGCCTTATCTGGGAGAAATTTAAGAATGTCTGACAAAAATATTTAATATGCATAAGTTACAATGTATTAATCCCAGACTTACAGATATATCCTTCAGATAATCTAGCAGGAGTGCATAAATATGCTTGTATAAAGACATTTACTTGAGCATATTTTTTGCTAATATACATTTTCTAGAAACAATTTTAATGTCCATCAATGACAAAAGGGTTAAAATATAATATGCTGAACAATTAATGTCACTGGACTGTACACCTAAAAATTGTTGAAAGTATCAATTTTATATTGTGTGTGTGTATATATATTTTTTTTTCCACAATAAAATGTATGGTTTATCCATACAATGGATTGCTATGCAGACTTTTAAAATAGTATGATAGATGTATATGTAGATTTTAAAATATTTTACTTTATTAAATATATATATTTGCAAATAACTGTACAAAAATAGAAAAATTCCAGGGTGAGACATGCTAAGTTGTAACAATGATTACCACTTGTATGAGTTTGTAGCAAAACTTTAACTTTTTCCTTCATATATCACTAAATTGTTTCAATTAACAAGACTGAGATTGTACTTAATTTAAAATTAGAATACAGACTGTAAATCATATTACCACATGTTCAAAAAATCTGAGAATAAAAGAAAAAATATTATATTCCTGAAGCTTCTAGAGGCTGCAACTATATACAGAATTTAAGATGTAGTGAAACTTAACAAAGATTCTCAGAAATGTGGGAGTCTTTAGATTGGTCTGTGCAGACAAAATTGACCATTAACACAGTGTAATCACAGCAACTCATCTTTCTAACTGCGTTTTCATTCTAATTGTGTAGTAGCAACTCAAAATAAACTAAGTCAGATTTCTTAGGGAAAAACAGCATGATTCAGGTAAGGGGCAGGGCAGGGGTTCTGTCCTGTGTGCACAGAAAACACTTCTACATGTGACAGACATACCTTTCTCTCCAGGGTAATCTTGCAAAATCACTATCCACCTGGGTTTGTGCACTCTGAACCTCACTGTCCCTCCACTCCAAGACTTTCAGTTATTTTATCCTACTGTTTCCTTTTGTGAAAAGAAGTAAGTGAATATATTCAACCTATTCCCAAAAGAACAAGCAGGAATCAGGCTCTGGCAGCAAAGTCCTTCCCACCCTTTGGCCTAAGTTGGTCTAAGTTGATTCCTCAAGGTGGTCTCTTTGGACCTTGTTGCCTTTCACAGTAGATGAAGGAATCATCTCATGGAGAAAAGCACCTGGGTGAAGGGTACTATAAAGCAGACTCCCAGGATCTCTGAAGATCATGTTGGGTCTGAGGTTTGAGATCATGGATGGTTTTCAAAGAGTAAAATCTTCCATAAGTTTACATAGCATCTTCATAGTCCACATCTGTGATATGTGCCTTTCTCAGTCTGGAATAGATGTCTGGGATGACCTGGAAGGAAAAGTAATGGGTAGAACAGAGCAGAGGACAAAGACAGCATGCCCTCCCCATCCTCTTCCAGTTAGCCTGCATGCATCTCATCATGGCACACCACACAATAACGCACCTCTAAGAAAGGGCTGTGGCTTTCCACCCACATTTCTAGGTGATCTACAATCTACTGGAGGCCACAGAGGTGCTCCTGATAGCTGAAAACTGGCATAATGAGGCCTCCCTTATTTTTATAGGCTGTTGTTGGGCAGTCCTACGGGCTGTCATTTCTTAAGGATGGTAAAAATTCATGAACTAAATTTAGCAAGTCACTGGAATGTTCCCAGGATTTGAATTCCATTCAGGAATATCTGGCTCCCACACAATACTAGACAATACTGCAAATCACCTATTATCATTGCATACATGTACAAAGCTGGAACACCTGCAGTTTTTCAGGAAGCATTTTTGTGTCATTAGCAATATCATGAGTTATTCAAAGTTTACACATTATTGATTTTTTCATAACACAATTCATTATTAACTTAGCTTTGCTCAACATTAATTTAGTTTGCTGTGGATTATTATGTTAACCTTACAACATTAAGAGATGGATATGTGATTCAGTGGTATTTTGGAATACAGATTTTCAAGGAAGCAAAACTTCTGCAATAGCTAAATCTTGGAAACAACCGAAATACCCATCAGCCAAGGAATGGATAAAAAAGATGTGATGTACTGATCAGCTATAAAGAAAGATAAACTCGAGGCTTTTACAGGTAAATTGATGCAAGCAAAGACCATACTCATAAGTGAAATAAATCAGAATCAGATGTGTAAACATCATATTGTCTCCTAGTGTAAGAAACTGAAAGAGTAAATAAGATGCAAAAGGTACAATAGATACTGTGAAAGGGAAAGAAACAGCTCAAAAGACAAGAACTAAGATGGGGGAAAAGGGGAAAGGAAGGGGAAATACATATATATACACACAAGATAGCTAAGATAATTGTACTACTAATTTCTATTAGTTCATTGAAAGGAACAGTTAGTGCTTATAATGTTTGATTCATTTTGCATGTCTATATCTGGTAATCTGAGCAACTGCTTTGAAGATAACAGTATGTAATATAGTAACCATTGTTAATTTTCTATCATCTTGTTTTGAAATTTTATATCTTTTTTTACCTTAAAATTTAAAAAAAACCTTTTAAACTAGGCATACACTGTGACTGAAATACATACCTCTATATGTCCACTACTCAAGTAAAGGTACTTATAAACCTCCCAAATTCCCTTGTACAGTGATTTGTTAGTTATGATTACATGTTTTTACCTCCATTGTGTTGGTAGATCAGGGACCTTGGGATTTTCTTTCTCTTCCTACATGGCTATAATTTAAGAAGTTTGAGAACCATTCCTTAGAGCATGCAGAGAGAATGCATGAAGAAAAGAACAAAGGGGACCCTGCTTACCTTATTCTCCACATGTGTCCCAGTGCGTTCAACTAAGGAGGAAAAAGTGTTGTGAGATTCCGTTTATAATGGTCTCCCAGAAGCTGTTGATACAAGCTTCTTCCTTTCTTATGTATTTCTCATAGATTGAGTTCCAACATTATAACCTGTGTTGCTTTTCTATCACAAATATAATTACCTTAATATTCAGGAAAAAAATGGTAGCCTGGGGTGGATGGGTAAGTAACCATTCCCCTCAACCTTCCCTCTCAGAGCACGGCATAGACAACACCTTTTTACCTCTTGGCTTTTCTGGGCTTGTCATGTGTACAGCGACAACCACAGCAACTAAGCAACTATACTGGGGTGCTATAAGAGTACATAGGGCTACTCTAAAAGGGTAAGTAGAGGCCATCATCTCTAGGGCTCTTATCTGCCTGGGAACTGGGGTACACAGTAGGTCAAGCTAGCATAAGCATGTGGCACTTCCAGACCAAAGGTCAGTCTTCAGGGTGGCAGGGGTGCAGAAAGTCAGCTCTAAAACCAGAAGCAGCTGCTTTGAGTAGCACTGACAGATAGCCATGCATAACTACTGATTATTCTCTTGGATCCAGGAAAGGCAAAAGTTAGAGACAAATTGACATACTCCATGCCTTACCTACTACTGGTTCTCGCTCCTGCTGGGTGTGGTACACCAGTGAATAAACCTTATCCCTGTTATCCCCACTTACAACATTCACTACAAGAGAAAAAAGGAGACATGGTCACATAGTGTGGGGGACAGTGACTCTTAACATATCATTTTAAAATAGAATAGTTTTAGCCTTAGTACAATCCTCAAAATGTGTCTTGAGAAACATCCCGGAGGGGTTATAAAAAGTTAACTTTGCAGTCCTGACTTTGGCCTGGAATGCTTCTCCAAAGACAAAGAACACTCGGGCCCAGATAACCACCTATGACCCTGCCTGGGTTGTTTCATCCCTTCCCTGGCCCTAGATAAACATTGTAACCATAAAGGAAATGTATGGTTATTTAAAGGGGGATATACAGAACAGAGTGTAGAAAGTATATATTATTGTGGTTGGGCTCATGACCAGAGCCTGACCTGGTCACGTGGCACAAGGAAAACAATATGTGGCCAGGGCTACAACATTCCAATCTGTTACCATGGAAACAAAAGGTATATTTAAGGTGGGAACAAAGAAGGCCAGCTGCCCACTTTCCTGAACTGCAAGTCAGGGATGAGAGGTGGCTAACCTCAAATTAATAAAACTGTGTTTATTCTAAATAGAGTCCTTCAGTTTCTTGTGGAATACAACCCAAATTTTTGCCATTACAATAGTCCCCTCTTCCTGTCCTTCTACTTGCTGCATGCTTATCATACCCATGGTGGCATATGAGCCATTCACGTGTAGAGGAAGTTGAGGCTCAGCAGGGTCAAAGTTGGCTAGAAAATGTCATCCCTCTGCCTAGCACATTGTACCCACTTTTGCCCAGGTTATTGGGAAGACTCACCATTTTCATAAAAAGTCTGTGTCTGCACTGAATCAGGTGAGTTGAGGTAATTAGATTGTTGAAGTACAGGGATGTCAGGGCTCCTGCAAATACAGAAACAGGCTGTCTATCTGGAATAGCTTCTGGATATCTCAGATACAACCATCTGAGATTGTGAAATAGAGGAGAGAAATCTGTCAAAAGGGTTCTATGAGGAATATTAATGCATGGGAACTCGAGGGCACAGCTGTATGGTACAAACCATGGCTCCCTAGATGGACTGTGTGGGGCACTTTATACTTACTGCACTGCATTTCTTTCATGAATATAAAGTCCTTTGCAGCTGGTTCACTGTAACAGTGGCCATACCTGGGATAGTGCTATTGACATCATAAAGGCTCAGGAAATACTAAATAAAGACATATGGAAAACAGGTGGATGGCCAGAACAAGCAACTTGAAGAAGGAGCAGGAGAAAATATGGCCATCTGTGCAATCACTGAAAGAGTCATTTGGAAAAAATATCTGTTTATTGTTGGCATAAACAATAACAGAATAAAAAATATATCAACTAAGCAGTGCTATCCTTAGATGGAAATATTTTTAAATATTTTCTTCCTGTAAACTTCCAAAGAATTTCATCAATAATTTTTCAGCATGTTTTTTATTGTGTCTTTCATTACAGAAATATGTGTGTATTTTACCTTCCCCAATATACTTTAAGATTCTGTTAATGAGTACTTGATTGATCAATATTGCGTGTCTCTATTTGTTTTCATGACAAACCACTTTGAAGATATCAATATGTAATACAAGCATTGTTAATTTCCTACCACTTTGTTTGTAACTCTGTATTGTCTGTACTGTTCTTTTGCTATTTTGTAAAATGTTGTCTGTCTGTTAATGTTTTCTTCCTTTTATTTTTAAAATTAAAAAAAAAGATTCTCAAGGTCTTTTTGTATATTCATACCTCTCAGCAGTCAACAGAACAATTTAAAACCCCCACATATTGACTGACTATTTGAATGAATGGTCCTTGCCAAGCAATGAAACTTTCTTATTCTTCAGTAGTCTTAAGGGGAATTAATAGGGAAGATTTAAAGTAATTACTTTTTACAAGAAATCTAACTGAAAAAAAATAGCAAGTGAATGTTCAAAGTTTCCAGTAGGAGAACTCAGGAGTGAGTGTTAGGTATGACAAGACAAGATAAGACAAAAGTTTAGGACAGAGGACAATTACAATTTTTAAAAATAGATTTCTCTGCCTTATTGGCACAAATGGACAAAGCACCTCAGTGGATCCGCAGCTGAATGTCTTCCTAGAAGACATTCAGAATGTCTTCCTTTCTCTGCCTTATTGGCACAAATGGACAACTCACCTCAGTGGATCCGCAGCTGAATGTCTTCCTAGAAGTCAAACAAATGAGTGTGCATGTTAGTGAGAAAGCCCCCCTTCTCAGCACTTCCACACCGCCCTTGCCCCGGGGTGTGCCTAACCCAGGATGCCCACTGTCACTATCAACGTCTGTCCAGAGGACATCCCAGCTATCAGTGATAGAGCATTCATTTCACAAATGAGGAGATGCAGGCCCACATAGTTAAAGAGATGTTCCCACATACAGTAAGTACCACAGCCAGAACTTGAGCCAAGTTGCTGAACACTTGTTCTGAGTTTGAAACCACACCTGCCCAAAGTTCTTCAGAGCAAGTGATGCCATAGACATATTACACGTGGAAGAAGTACCCAAAGCTTTGGTAAAGCTTGGAATTTAAATAAGAATCTCATATTGCCCTTTCTTGCCCCATCTCCAACTTGCTCAGTGGAGATCAGAAGACCAAGGTTAAATATACAAATCAATATGGAAGTACCGGCTATGATAAAGTAGGAAGTAAGATCATTGGAATTCATAAGAGAATAGCCACAGGCTGTGTGATCAGGTGAAGCCTCCTAGAGAAAATGACAGCCTGAAAAGGCACATGACAATACCCTAAAGCAGTGATGGCTGAACCTTTTAGAGCTTTCAATGAACAAAACAGTCCACTGAGAAGCCATCAGTGCCCTAAGGTGAGTATAACTTGATGGATTGACTTCAGAACTAGGAAACAGTCAAGATGAGCTCCTAAATGCTTTTCTAGTGACTGATTGTTTTAAATAGTTGTTTTCACAGCAACATGAAATCAAAGAACAAGCTGTCAGCTGAACCTGAACTGATGGCACATGAAAGACAAAGAATTTTACTAAATATTTCACTACTGTAGTAAAAATCTGAGGGGGCGGGGTAGAGAATAGATCCATAGATGAGGTGGCAAAAAGCATATATTTATCCTTTGTAGTGTACATACCACAAAGCCAGCCTATTTCAGTAAAATCAAAGGTCACAGTAACAAAATACCAATCTCTGTAAATACTGACCTATTTTTCTCTTGAGCCAGCAGCCAAATATCAGGGCCATAGCAATGACGAGACCAAAGCTACCAAGCAGCCCTTCTATGATGCCTGAAGTAAGATGATCGCTTCCGTTCCCATCAGGCACTGAGGGGAGAGACCTGTGCGTGAGTCGTGAGGGGGAGATTGGGGTCTGCAGAGCAGACATCTTGGGTCTGGGCTGTGCCTAGAGTGTGCTCTTCCTAGGGGGGATTTACAGTACTTTTTTTTTACCTGGGAAAAATTCTTTGTCACGAGCATGTATTATGGATTCACACTCAATAACCATACAAAATACCAAACGAAAGCAAGCAAGAATAACAGCAGGACTACCCATTACCAAACCTAACAAAATGCTAGAAATGTTGCTTCTAGTCCTAGAATTATTTTATAATATGATACTGAGAAAATTATAGCTAGAATGAAGGCCTTGATGACAAATCTTGCTATACTCTGAATTCATTCAAATCAGGATTTAATAAACAGTATGTCTTTTATTTGAAATTATGAATAATGAGTATTTAGAAAGCTACACTGACACATAAAAAGAGAAATGGAAGAGGGTGGGCAATTTTCTGTTTAGGTCAGAACGTTTACTCTAATGCAGGGATTTACTTATATAGCTGAGGACCTACAGCTTCATCACATTGATGATGAAGACAGGCACTGAATCCCCAATCCTCCACACTCCTCAGGTATACTGTCCATGATAGCACCACATGTAGAAGCCCATGTTTGGTAGCACCCCACCAGAAACACTGTTATGTCAGAGAGCCTCTTACAAGATGGGAAGAGACTAAGACCATCCCATAGTTTGAGCTATACCTGTGACATCGAGTGTTACAACCTCACTGCGCTGGGCATGCCGGCCATTGTCAGCGTCACAGGAGTAGTTTCCAGAATGTTCTACAGTCAGGGAGAGGTTGAAAGACACTCCTCCTCCAGAGGGGGCCGAGCTGTTCCTCAGGATGACATCCTCATGATAAAGCTGGTACAGGATCGGGGGAGAGCCTCGCAGGGCCTCACAGTGAAGCTCCACCACATCCCCCACCACAGGCTGGGCTCTGGAGGCCTTAACGGTAAGGACAGGGTTGGATACTGGACCTGGGAAGACAATAGGTTATCAGAAAGGAGCTTCTGAGGATGCAGTAGACTGACAGTCCCTGCCTGTCCTCAGAGACTCAGCCACACTGAACTTCCTTAGGGTACCCCTGGGCAATGTGGATGAGATGTGCAACCCAGACAGCGGGCAGTAGAACTTACTTCTGACAGTGATGCTGATCAACCCACTGAGGCTGGGGCCATGGCCGTTGTCCGCTGCACAGTAGTATTGCTCAGCATCTCTCTGCTGAACCGAAGCAATCTCATGTTCCGCTACCAGTGAACGCTGGGTCTTTGCTGCCAGTTTTAAACCCAGAGCACCTCTGTACCAGAAGAAGGTGATGTCTCCAGTGCCACTAGCAACTGAGCAGATTAGAACCAGCTTGTCTCCCTCCATGGCCCATCTTCCTGGGGGTTGGGTCTCCAAGCTCACATCAGAGACAGGGACTCCTAAAGGAACACAGGATAATGTAGGTGCCTCTGAGCAGGGAGATTTTCAGGGACAAGGAGTAAGTGTGAGATGCTCGAACGCGAAGGCTGCTCAAAAGTCGATGATTTATATAATCTAAATTGGGGGTGGGGCCCTGCTGAGTTGGAATCAGGTTTGGTTGGACTGATGATCACAGAATAAGAAAGACAACATTGTAGTAGCATGGAGAATATGACATCACCCTCTTCCCTAAGACAACAAAACTCCCATTACCCTAAGTCTCAAACTTCCCTTTTGCAAGCACAGTAATATAGTGATTAATATCTAAATTATAAATTAAAATTCCTGGGTGTGAATACTCGTTCCAACTCATATTTGCTGTGCATGCTTGATCAAATCACTCCTCTGAGACTCAATTTCCCACCTGTAAATGGAGAAGGTAACGATAGTCATCTCGTACAGTCAAGGCGTTTGATGAAACATGTCTGTGAAGCACTATAACAGCACCCATTGTGTATGAGCTGTTCGAGGTGTTTGCATTGGTGGGTAGGCATTCACTTTTGAGTGTTTAGCACATCTGAGATTATGCAGCCATCTGGGGGTACTAAACATTGGGTCTCTTTATAGGAAAAGATGTCAAAAGTGTCAGCTGTCATGGAAAATGATAGTTCACAATAATAAAACACCCTCTGCATTCTGTCTTTCAAGATCAAGCCCATTCCATAAGCCATTCTCCAATTCTTTGTTCTGCACACTTCTTCCACAAAGCCTTTCTTGTGATGCTGACCTTAAATCTGGAATCCCCTCTCTACCTCTGTCCAGGACGGGCAGAAGATGCCATGTTTCACTCCCCTCTCCCTAGCTTCAACTCTGGAAAACAGCCCCTAGGACACTCACTCTGCACATGTATCTGAGACCTCAGGCTCGTTCTTGTGACCCCGTGAGTCAGTGTCTTTGCCTGGCACCAATAGAATCCTGAGTCTTTGCTCCACACAGCTGGGATCCAGAGCTCTGGAGAGGTCCTGGGGCCTGACCCCAGCATCTGTTCATCTCTGTAGAAGTAGAACTGTGGCTTCCAGACATGTGGCTTCTGTGGAAGGAGCTGCATCTCACAGGTCAGCCTCATCGGGTTCCCCTCTATGGGCTTGGAGGGGCTGGCTCTTAGTACAGGACGTGGAAGTGGCTCTAGAGAAGATTGAACACAAAGCCCAGACCAATGAGATTGAAAGTTTATGATGATAAGCATTTTGTGTTTTCTGGTAGCTGGACACACTGAATACCCACCCATCCCCTACTTGGCCCATGGGCCTCCCTACTTATTCCTCTGGGCAGCAGCATTGACTTTAAGAAGCCACCTTTACCCTAGACTTGCTTTTATGAAATAGTTTGATGTTTCTATGCTTGAGCTAAAAACCCTTTTCTCAAAGCCAGTACAGGGATATCAAAGGAGGTAGCTCGAGTTGCATTAGAGATATTTAAGCTTGAAACTTTTTTAAGGGCAACACTTTTCTTGCATCCTTGTTGTAAACCATATTGGCTATTTGCTTCAGCTGCCTTTCCTCTCATATTTCAGACCCATTCTATCTCTTTCAGAGGCAGAGCATGGGACCTGGAGGGTCAGTCAGTGTGGAAATAAGACAGAGGGAGTTGAGCCCATTTTGCTGACTGTCCTGTCACCTCTATTGCTGTTTGTATTGGAAGGAACAGTGCACTTGCCTGGAAATGCCCTATACCCACCATCTGCAGAGCCCAGGTCCTGAAGTGGAACATATATAGAGACTTCTGTGGGAGCTGTTATGTGAGAAGCAAATTTAGTTCATATCTTTAGCCTGAGCGATGTGTCCTTGGAGGCCCAGGTCTCATAGTTACAGCACCCCAGGAAATGTTACAAACCCGGACAGCACTGGCTCTTTGGGCATTTGTTTCCAAACCTGAGAGCCTCTAACATTGGAAAATTTTACGACTTTCCTAAAAGTAACCTCTTTCTTTCTCTTTCCCTATCCCTCTCTCTCTCTCTCTCTCTCTCTCTCTCTCTCTCTCTCTCTCTCTCTCTCTCTCTCTCTCTCCCTGTTCCTCCCTCTCTCTCTTGCTCACTCTCTCTCTCTTTCTCTCTCTCTCTTGCTCACTCTCTCTCTCTTTCTCTCTATTTCTTACTTTCATCAGCTAAAATACCAAGTGCTCTAGATCACTGAGAGGCAAATCCTAGTGCCGTATCTGAAATCTCCAAGCCTTACTACTGGAAGGCTTTTCCCTGGGTCTTCTACCAATGGTTGCTAAATTTTTCCCTTTGTCCCAGGGTAGAAAATACTGCACACTTTCTGTCCTTGGAAAACTGTGGTTTCTAAGGACCGATGAGCTCTGAGGCTGAGCAAAGAAACATTTTTTTTAATGTACTTAGGCACCTGTCTCAGAGTCTTCTGACCAGGGAAGGGGAGGGGTGGAGTAGGAAGACATCCGGGCTAACTGCAAGTCTGGTGCTCAATCTTATAGTTCAGAGTTTGCTTCTGATAATTCTCAGGCAACAGAGATTACCTGAAAAATACTTGAAAATTTTGTTTCCTTTATGTGGCTTTGGGTTTCTGCTTAGGTTGGGATTGGGCATCTGGGCTTTGAAGTAAACAAGAGACCCAGCACAGGCCAGGCATGTCATAAACAGAAGGCTGAGTTAGACAAACATCAGATGAAGAACCCAGAAAGCTAGGCTGTTTTCTGACCTGCTTGAGAATTCTTGATTTTGTGCTCTTGGTGTGGCAAGAGAGTCCATGTTAGCCCTGGGGTTAATATTTTGTGCACAAGAGAGCAAATCTCACATATACTAGATTTAAGCATGCTTTGGTGAAAATTCCTTGTGGTGGGAAAGTTTCCTAGTCCCCTCCTCTGGGAAGGGAGAGACTTTGAATAGACATCAGAACAGTGAAGTAAGTTGGCATAAACCAGAGCATGAGAGAGAAACTTGCTGAGGTAACAGAATGGCAGGAGGCTCAGGGACTTAGGGCCTTTATGGCAGGAAAGACAGAGGCTCTCCTAGCATGACTGCTTGGCATCCTTTGCCTTCTTTGTGCCAATGACATTTCCCTCCTTACCCTGAATCTAGAAATAAGACTCCTGGAGAACATCACATTAAGATGCACCAAGCAGACATAACTCAAAGCAGCCAGGGCCTAGAGGAGCCTCTGATGTCTGTACACCTTAGCAACAGTCACTGGATGTGTTCTGGACAGGCAGAGGCTGCTGAGACAGCCGTCCACAGGCTTCCGGTGCCAAACTGAGTGATAAGATACTCACAGACTGAGGAAGAAAGGAACGTGCAACTCACCAGCAGGTTCACAGTGCAGAGCTGGAAGAGACATCACCAGAGGTCAGGGCGGGGCAGTAAGTCCCACAGACACACAGTTTAACTCTTCCGCAGAAGGCTTTCCCAGGAATGTGCTGTCCTTCCTCCATGCCTCCCCCGGCCCCCACCTTCTTCCCAGCTTGACTTTCCCCTCCTCCCCTTCTTTCTCTCGTCTTCCCTCCCTTGTTATCTTCTTCCCCTTCCTTCTTCTCTACCTTCCTTCCTTCCTTTCTCCCTTTCTCTAGTCCTGTTCCCACATCTCATATCATTCATAGCACATCCACCAAAAAAATGGTTATTGACATGATCATAAAGTAACTTCCAATAACTTTAGTCATCTGTGACAAGGAGATGGTGTTTTTATCCTTAGTGACTCAGCAGCTCTCTCGTCAAGGCCCTTATTTCAATCCCCACATGTTCTTCTCAAAAGTGTTGATGATCCAGCTCTGAACTGACAGCCTCATTCACAGTAACAGAATCAGGCAAAAAGTGGTTAAGGATCTCATGTTCAAGGCATGAGGTCTGTGTTTAGGAGCTTTAGGTCAGAGAAGGTTTAGGTCCAGAGAAGGAATGCACATTTCTCCAAAGGTTCTCTCCTACCCAAGGATTTAACTGTAAGTTATGGTTTGTGTCTAGATGTCCCTCCAAAACCTCATGCAGTCATGGGGTGGGCTACTAGAGTTTATGATTGATCCATGGTCCAATGTTGGGATTATGGATGTGAGAGCTACCCACCCTGGGGCTGGTAGTTTGCATACAATATAAAGGAGGGAAAGAGGCCTGTTCTTGCCTCTCCTCCCTTTTGCTCTTGTTGCTTTTGCTGTCTTCAGCCAATATGAACGGTTGCCCTGTGCCATGCGCCACCCTGCTTTGGAGCCAGCTGAGTATGGACTGAGACCTCCACAAACTGTGAGCTAATAAACCTTTCCTTCCTTAGTTCCAGGCATTGGGTATTTTGTCTGAGCAATGAGAGAAAATTAGCCAAGACACCATAATATGGCATAATGGTCAGGAAGGGAAAAGTCTGGAGAAAATATAGGCTTTATAACAGGGTGGCAGAGAGTTGAATATTTGCTCTTCCTCTTGCAAACTGTGTGACCCTGAAAAAAATACTTTTCCTCTTTGTTTTAATTTCCTTTTCTGTAAAATGTAGACAGTATTAGTAATTACAGAGATTTGGTGAGGATTAAATCTGTTGATCTCCATAAAGTGCTTAGAATTATGCTGAAGATTTGCTTAGCATCCAAAAAATAGTGTATCCTGATTATCATTACTATGTGCAGTCTGAGGTGCCTACTTTTTAAAGTTAAATGGTATTAATAATTGTGTTCTCAAGTAGGAGAAGGGAATTAACAGAGCAGACATGAAAATGATGTTTTATTTGTTTGTTTGTTTTGTTTTTGTTTTTCTCCGGTACCGGGAACCGAACTCACGACCTTACGCTTGCCAGGCAGGCGCTTTGCCGCTGAGCTAAATCCCCAGCCCCAAATGATGTTTTATTTGTCCAACTATATGCAAATAGTTTTGAGTGCAACCATATGCTAGGCACTGTGCATGGCACAGTGCCACACAAGTAAATAGGGACATCAGTCCTTGGTGTCAAGGAATTGACACTACAGTGGGAGAGAGCCAACCTAAACAAATAAGCATATCCTATGATTTCAGAGAGTGATTGGGGCTATATGAAAACTAAAGCACAAAACAGTTGTTTTCAGAACTGGGGGTCACACCCAGAGCTGCTCTATTATTAAGCTACATCCTTGACCCTTTTTATTTATTTTTTTTAAAATTTGAGCTAGGATCCCACTAAATTGTCCTGGAGGTACTCAAACTTGTGATCCTCTTTCCTCACCCTCCCTCATTGCTGGGATTATAGGTATGTGCTACTGAGTCCAGCCAAAGTAGAAAATTAAGTTATAGGATCTTAGACCATTTTGACTACTTAGATAAATTGCAATGTAATAGAAACTGAAATTACTACCTGGATTAAATCAGATAGAAAGATTTTTTAATAGTTGAGAAAGAGCATCTCTGGTAGAGATGACAGCAAAGGCAAAGACCCTAAGGGGGAGTGAGCTTGTCTAAGGAGAGTGAGCTTTCTGCTAGCAAGTTAGGGAAGAGGTAGACACTGGTGTGCAGAAGAAGACAGGAGCCAGTTGTGGACATCTTTGTGGACTTACTAACAGTCTGAAATTTCATTCTAGATGTAATGCAGGATAGTTCTGACTTAATTTAAATTTATAAGATCCCTCTTTCACCCAAGAAAACAAGCTATAGAAGTGCAAGAGAAGCAGTGTTAATATTAGTGGGAATTTAGGAGAGTAGAAATAATGGCTCAGATTAAGCTACACTGGTGATGCGAAGTGGTCAGCTTTTAGCATAAGTTTTTAAAGCAGAATCAATAGAAATTGCTTATGATTAGGCAGAAATTTTGAAAAATGAAAAAGAGGGAAGAAGGAGAGAGAAAGAGAGAAGAGGGGAGAAAGGGAGAGAGAGAGAGACAGAGAGAGAGAGACAAAGAGAGAGAAATTATTGCTCATAAGTTTTGGCCACAACAACCAGAAAAATGCTGGTAATGTCTAGTGAAATGTGGAAGTTGTAGGGAAAATCGATTAAATTTTGTGGTGTTAGGGTAAGAGGTGAAGATCAAGCTCTGTTTGGGTTTAAGATGCCTGTTAGAGGCCTAAATGACCACTGAATACATAAAAAGTGTTCTAAGAAGAGATTGAAGGAGAAATAGCGGCACATTAGCTGACAAAATGATGTGACCTGAGGAATGGAGTATGGAGGAAGAATAGAATGTAAGTATCAACCTTGGGAATTGCCACCATTTTGAAGTCAGTAAAGAATCTAGTAAAGACACTAGAGTGCAACAGGTACAGCACTAAGTTGGCAAGAGAACTAGGAGGATCTGATATTCTTGGAGCCATGTGAAATCCTGGTTCCAGGAGTGGTCAGCTGCATTACATGTCCCTAAGAGATTAAAGAAATACAAAAAAGAAAGTGATCTCTGGATGACACCACATGGAAATGGTGGTTGATATCCAAGAGAGCAGGTTTAGCATAGTGTAGGAACAAAAGTGAATTGAAGTGAGTTTGAGAAAGGATAAAGAAGAAAGATAGGGACCCAGAATAATTTAGCAGCTTCAGGGGGTTAAGAATGGGAGAAGATTTGGCCATACATGAGGGGATGTTTGAAAAGATAGAAATATTCTGTATTTTGATTGAATTAATGGTCACATGACTCAAAACCTCTGTCAAAAATTTCAGTGTTTCAAAACAGTGAACTGTAATGTAATTTAAGATGAAGTTTTTAAAAAGAAAGGATGGAAGGAAGTGAAACAAGGGCAGAAAGTCACCAAAAACTTGGTAGAGGAAGACAGACCAATGGTGCAGTGAACTGAGACCACCAGGTCATGTTTCCATTGTTTTAAGATTAAAAATATTATAGGGACCTGGACATGGTGACACATGCCTTTCATCCCAATTCTATGGGAGGGTGGGGCAGGAGTAAGATCAAAAGTATGAACCCAGACTGGGAAACTTAGTGACCTAGCCATTCCCTGTGTCAAAATTAAAGAAAGTTTGCAGTTATAGCTCAATGTGAAGGTCCTGGGTTCAATCCCCAGTACTAAAAAAAAAAAAAAAAAAAAAAAAAAAATTACATTATATTTATATCTTTACTGGAATAATGTAGAATGGATACACATTTTAATGATGGAAATTTTTTTGAGAAAAGAGGGTCTTGGATGCAACTCACAAGTGGAGAATCCTGTCTTCTACAGGATGAGGGACAATGGATTCATGGAACTGGGGGAAAAGACAGAGGATGAGTTCGAAGTTAGGTGAGTTGGTAGATATGGCAAGAGAAATATGAAGACTTTTTCTTCTGGTTGCCTTTATGTTTTCAATGAAATATGAAGTGAAGTGATAAAGAGTGAAAAGGGATATTCTTGAAGAGAAAGGAAAAGGTGTGAAATAATAGTCATCATGAGTGGGAAAGCAGGGCTGTAAAAGTCTAGGAGGCTTGTCTGGCAGTGCTGATGATCACCAGAGATTTGGGGCTCTACGTTAAATGGAGACAAATCAACAAAGGTGTGCCTTTTGTTTAAAATCCTGTTCAGCTGCTCAAGCACAGGTGAAGACATGCAGAAAAATGTGTTGATCAGGACAGTGCAATGGGGGAAGGAAAGTGAAAGGAGATTGTGATGATGGATTGCAGAATCTAAGCTGAATACCATAAGGAGTAAGTACATGAATTATAACACTTGACCATGGGACAGTAATCCTGGGGAGTTGAAGACATGTTAGAAATAGAGTGCTAGAGAAAGTGAGCTGGAGATATTACAGAGTGGAGATAGTTGCTGAAAACAGAAGATAAGTTCTAAGGTATGACAGTAGGAGTAGGGACTCTACAAAGGATAAAAGGACATAATATTGGATAATAAGGTAAATAGCTGCAACTCCAGACCATGCTCATAAGTAAAATAAATCAGACCCACTTGTGTAAACATCATATAGTCTCACTAGTGTGAAAAGGTCAATGAGTCAATAAGAACCAAAAGGTACAATACATATTGTGAATTGGGAAGAAACTGTTCAAAAGGAAGGAGAAATTGTTATGAGGGGAAGGAGCAAGGAAGGAAGGAAAGAGGAGAATTACACACACACACACACACACACAATACATTTAAGATAGTTATACTGCTAGTTTCTCTTAGTTCATTGAAAAGGTTGGCGCTAATATTATTTAGACAATATTTCATGCCTATATCTTGTACTCAGAGTAACTACTTTGAAAATAATATGCAATGATTAATTATTGCTACTCTCTTATTATGTTGTATTGAAATTCTTTTTTATTTTTTATTCTCTTTAAAATAAAAAAAAGAACAAGGAAATGAAAAGCCAATTTGTTACATGGGGGAGGGGCTTATAAAAACACCAAGCACAAGCACAGAATTGATGTGAAAAGGAAGAGTCAGTGAGTGGTTCCGAGGAGATAAAAACTGAAGTGAATGTTTTCTTTAGAAATCTGATTTTCTGTTAGTGTATCCACCAATTTCTTCCTGACTCGGCTAGAAGTAGAGATCTAAGCACCCGTGAGCGACCCTGAGCACCGCCAGCCCGAAACTCAGTCCTGAGAACTGCCTCCCAGCAATTCAGGAAGTGGGCCCCGGTGATGGCATCCCACTGCCCACTCACAGTTGCCCAACTCACCACAGATCAGCAGCAAGAGCCTCAGCAGCATGAGGGACAGGTGCGGATGGCGAATGAAGACACCACTCTTCAAAAATGTAATTCACATCAGACTCGAGAGGTGTTTGTCAGAGGTTTGAGGAAGTCACGATCGGAAGTTCCCTTCTGTACACATTTACAGAAATAGAAGAAAGAAGAACCCTCACAAAAGTCAGCGTCCATTTTCCCTCCAGTGGAGGCTGAGAAAAATTAAAAGTCTTCATTTTCATAATGTGGTTCAATTTCACACCTTAGATATGATACATATCAGAATATGAGGACCCCTTTGAAGAGTCCAGGTATGTAACATGGTTTCTTAAAGGTATTTTCTGACTTTAATGAGTCTAATCAGTCTACTGCCTTGCTGAAATTTGAATGCATATTTTATCTTTGATAAGGTTGTCTCCTGGACAGTCTAACAGACACATCCTTCTTTCTATGCAGTCTCTACTATAGTCACACTATGCAGATTTGTTGTGAGGGCAGAGATTGATGGGATGGTCACCCAGGTTATGTGTAGTGTCTGACAGTTGTTGTATATGATTTGTACAGGGGTTACTCTGTTCAGACAGATAAAAGATTCCATATTTAAACTTTCAGTGTATCAGTAAATGGCCATAAAAAACAAACTCATGGGAAAGTGCAATTTGAAGGATGTTTGGAAATAAAATACAGACAATAAACATATACCAGTTCACCTCTGGGCACTTAGGAGGAGCTTGCCATTAGCATCAACTCCCGCATTTGTGATACTGTTCCCTCCATCACTCAAAATCGGGATATCTATAATCTCTCCCATTGCTTTCTTTTTTAAATCATATTTTATTACTACTCTATGTGTTTGCAATACATGAGTTTACATTCATCTTAGGGAGCAGGTACAAGTACATGATACATCTTGACTCCTTTTTAATCCCTTTTTCCCACCTCCCTCCCTCTATCTCTACAACCCTTTCCCTATCTTCATCAGTGTAGTTATCATTCATGTTTTCAGATGTGTCCCATTGCTTTCTTCAGCATACCAGGGCTACCAGTTCCTGACAGCTGAAACCTGTATGGAATTTAGATTGTGTATTAGAAGAGAATGAGCTATCTTAATTTTCAACATTTCCCGAATCTTTGAGTATCTCAAATGAAGCCAGCCAATGCATGGAAACCAGGCTGTGAGGGGCCATGGGAAGGTGCTGTCCAGAAATAACACTGATGTTCAGGAAACATGTGCAAAGGCAAAGACTGAGCAAAAAGAGGGGTGATAGGTGATTGCAATACAGGAGGGAGAAGAACAAAGTTGGAAACCAGGCTAACGGCCGGAGGGAAGGTGCTGAAAATCAGAAAGGTGTGTCTACATCTTTGCTTATTGGCTTGAGGAAGCCTATACAGGGATATGTATGGCAAGTTTAAAATTTCTAGGGCAACACAGAAAATTCCCCTCCCTGAGGACGGGGAACCCTCTCCAGCAGGGTGTACAGTGTTTTGCATACACCAGGCTGTTTCACATCCTTTTTCTTGTGCTCGTGTTTGTCCTGCACCAGTGCCTTCACGATTTCTTCAGGTAAAAATAGCCTTCCCTCCTTTTTCACCTATTGAAAGTCTTTGGTAAATCTCACCTTAGTTTTTACACTCAGCTAATTGACATATAATTGACATACACTAAAGTGACTCCATTATAAGCATAGTCTTGTGCATATACAATCATGATCACAATCTGGAACATTTCTATCACCTCAGTGTGGTTTTTGTGCCTCTTCCCACTCTTTCAAAGCTGCCTAGAACAACTTAGCTGCTGTCTGCTTTGCTGTTTCTATTGATTAAGTCTGTCTTGTCTAGGGTTCCCTATAAATGGAAATACACAGTACTTACTCTTTTGTCTCTAAGTTATTTTCCTCAGCGTAATATTTTTGAGACTCATTCACACAATACAGACGATGAAAACATTCACATACAGTTTTGGGATGAATATCTGAGTGGAAATTTAAGTAAGAATATATTTAACTTTTTAAGAAACTGCCAAATAATTTCCCCAATAGTTTTTACTACTTTATATTGCCCCCAGACTGGAGTCTGAGCCCCAGTCCCCTTCAACTTATTTTTAGCCATTCTGAAACATGGGTAGAGGTGTCATGAGTTTAATTTGCATTTCTCTGATGCTCAATTAAGTTGAGTGTTTTTCATATGTTTATTAGCCCTTTACATATTTTCTCTCTTAAATTATCTTAAAACTACATTCCTATTTATTAAGAGGGCTGTTTGTCCAGTCACTGAGTTGTGATATAGTCTGACCAAGAGTCTTTTGTAAGATATCTGTGCCATTGACGTTTTAGGCTACTCTATACTCCTACTTCCTATTTTTCCAGCAATGTCTTTTAAAGAGAAGAACTTTTTTATTTTAATGACGTCTAGTTCATTAATTTTTATGATTAATGCTGTTCTTGCTGTGTCTAGATAATCTTTGCCAATCTTTAGCAAAAGGAAAGAAAGAAAGAGAGAAAGGTAGAAAGAAAGAAAAAAGGGAAAGGAAAGGAAAGGAAAGGAAAGGAAAGGAAAGGAAAGGAAAGGAAAGGAAAGGAATTAATATCTTTAAAATATTATGCTATTTTGTCAGGCATGGTGGCACACTTCTATAATCCAACCACTCTGGAGGCTGAGGCAGGAAGATTGCTGTGTGTTTGAGGCAAGATGGGCTACATAGTGAGCTCAAGGGCAGCTTGAACTACATGATAACACCCTGTCTCAAAAAAACAAAACACAATAAATACAGTTTTTGACCCACAAAAAGGTATTGTGTTCTTTAACATCTCTCTGCAATATTTTGTAGTTGTCAATGTACAGATGTTTTATATCTTTTGTCAAATGTATCCCTAGGTCTTCAAATTTAATTCTAAATGATAATGTTTTGTAAATTTCAATTTCTAAATGTTGCTGATATATAAACACTTCATACTTTATATTGATTTTTTTTAATCCTCTAATCTTGCTAACTTCCAGTAGCTTCTTGGTAGATTCCATGAAGCTTTTTATATATGTGGACATATTATCTGTGAATAAAGACAGACTTTAATTGTTCTTCTCTACTTTGCATATTTTAATTTCTTTTTTTTTAACCTTGCCACACTAGTTAAAACTTCCAGCACAATGTTGAATTAAAGATGTAAGAATAAACATCTTTGTCGTGTTCCAGTCAAAGCCAGAATTAATTCATCTTTCACCACTAAGTATTATATTGTCTCTAGATTTTTCTTAAATACATCAAATATCAAATTAAGGGAGTTCATTTATCATGAATGAATTTTGAATTTTGTCAAATATTTTTGATACATCTATTGAGATGATGACATTAATTATCCATTTTATTTTGATAGTAGAGTGAATTTCATTGATTGCTGGATGGATGGATTGCAGGGTCAAAGTTCAAACCCTGGCCTGGGGTACATTCAAGTCAAAAATTATACTGAGATACATCACCAGGCCCATTATAATTGAGTGAATTATATTAATATTTGAATATCACCCAAACCTTGCATTCTGGAGTAAATATAATTAGATCATGAAGCATTATGTTGTTTACATAATTCTAGATTTGTTTATTTTCTTTACTAACACAGTGCCACAGACTATGCAAATTATAAAAAGAAAGAGGTTAATTTTAGCCCACAGTTCTGGGAGTTCAAGGCCAAGGAGTTACATCTGGAGATGGATTTCTTGTTGGTTGACTCCCAAGGCACTAAACAAGGCATCACATGGCAAGAAATACAGAAAGTGTTTGTCTCTCTCCCTCTTAGAAAGTCACCAGTACAACTTCCTGCCTCGTAGGCCTCTGGAGGGAGGGCCCCTGGCACACAGGGAGCCACGGGTGGGGAGCGCCTATCTTCCAGCTGGCTCACTTCCTGCCTCATAGGCCCCCGGAGGGAGGGCCCCAGCGCACGGGGAGCTATGCGACGGAGAGCGCTATGGCGAGCCGGCCTTCAGGTGGGCCGCTGCTGCTCAATTGAGAACTATCATGACACAGAGAAACAATGACACAATTGGCCAGCCATGCACCAGCTGCAGATGCCCACCTAAGGATGTATGTGAATCATTCAAACATGGAAAAACCCCTGGGAGTACATGCTATACAACAGGCCACTCTTGCTCCTGCCGTTGAGAACCAGAAAGGTCTAGAGTCAGCAGAGGAGCAGCTGCTGAACAAGGACTCAGAGAACATGAGAATGCAGACTAAGCCCAAGGGGTCAGAGGCCCTGTGGACTGGGGTTATGAGAGCTGCTCAGAAGCTGTAAACCAGGAGGACCTTGCACAATACCTGTGGAGACTCCCTGGAAGCCATTCTTCCCCTGACAGTACAAGCTGTGGTGGAGCCCCGGAGAAGTCTGCAACAGGATTCCTGCTGCCTGTGCTGACAGTTGGGGAGAGGACACTAACTGGTTGTGGGGTCCCAATGCGATGGGAGGCTGGAGAGAAAACACTACAAAAGATGGCTTTGGCCCCAGATGGCTCACTTGATTCACACACATCCTTAGGTGGGCATCTGCAGCCCGTGCATGGTTGGCCAATTGTGTCATTGTTTCTCTGTGTCGTGATAGTTCTCAACCCTTAGGCTGTAACTACTTGTTAGATCCTTCTTGCATATCTCTGTCTTCCTGAGAAACCATTTTGAAGATACCAACATGTATTACAGCAGTCACTGATATTTTCCTACTAATCTATCCATAACTCTGTAATGTTTGTATTGTTCCTATCGTATTTCATAAATGGATGCATATTTATTATTATGTGTTTCCTACAACAACCATTCAGAATAGTAATGATTATTCAATAGGTCACTCATGTAGAGTTCTATTTATTTTCTTTCAAAGATACTTAAGTAGAGTACAACAACTATTGATAATCTCCTACCTCTTTTGTCTGTAACTCACTATTATTTGTCTATTTGTTTTCCTGAGAAACTATCTTGTAGATAACAATATGTAAAACAATAACCATTGATAATTTCCTACCACTTTGTCTGTAATTTGGTAAAACCCCCCCCCATTATTGTTATCCTTCTCTTACTCTTTAAAATAAAAAAAAAGAAAGTCACCAGCATTCAGTTATAAAGACTCCACTACAATGACTTTA